AGCAGAGAGGTCGGGCACACATAAAAGCGAAGACACCTCCTCCTCCCACCACAATCTGCATTGGGTGATACTTCTAGAAGATGCAGCAATGTCTCACAGTCTTACAAATTCTAGGAGCAATCCTGCCTAACTTGTGAACTTTGCATAAACCCAGGGGTGTGACTGTGGAATGAGAGAGGAAGGCAGGGTCAGCCGTTAGTAGGCAGGCAGTGTAAAGTGGAAGCCGGAGACAAGGTCTTGACTAGAAGCAACCAAAGGAATACAGCACCTTTTCTGTGCTGGCGCAGGGCTGCTCAAGGTCTGATTTACTAAATGTGTGAAATCGTTTGCTGAGACCTCACAGTGGGAAATGTTGCTAAGGGAATGAAGATGAGAAGGGGTGACAGAAAAGGACAGGAGCGTGTATATCTGCATGAAATCCAGGAGGGGTGACAAACACAGTCTGCTGACATCATGCCAGGGAAATTTCACCACATTAGCTCATTTCTGCATACCCAAGATAGCCAGTGAAACCACTCAAAGACACAGGAAGACAAGGGACTAGTTTGCCCTCTCTTCAAGACTCTATAAGATTTTATCCTTCCTTATTGCTAACACAGGCCACTAGGACTTACTCTGGCCAATGACAGGCCCACCCACTTTCAGAGATGTGTTTCATATCAGAAGCATCCTCCTGCTGCTCCCAATTTCATTCCAGTCCCACGATCATGCTCAAAGCCATGCAGAGAAAACAACCTGACCCTAACTGTTTACCCTGACATTACACAAACCAATTATTAAACGTGTATCGCTGTCTGGTGAGGGGAGAATAATGTAACAACATGTCAACCAGGTCACAGGCTACACTTCACAAAAAGCAAGGGGAGTGGTTCCTTCAAAACGTGAAGGCATCATCAATCTTCTACTAAATTGACATAAGATTTATACCCCATTTTAAAAACGGCAGCTACAAATAGAAGTTGAGAGACGGTCAATTCTCAAAGGGAACAAGCCCTGAGAAAAGCTGTTTTACGTTTACTATTATAAGGATGCCCGTAGTACGTCAATTATACAAACTCTGTTAAAAAAATTTAAAAGTAAATAAATGCTACCTCTCCAAGTACTGTTACCTCCTCGGTGCTCAGTGGCAGGATACAGAAAGCTTTCAAGAGGGTAGAGGCAGGCAGGTGGTCCTGGGATACCTACACCAAAAACAAGAGATTCGGATGATTTCAGCAGTGACCTGAGTGGCTTCTAGGGACAACTCCATTAGGCGCATCCACCACAAAGACAGAGCTAGCGGCTGCACTGGTATGGGTAAAGGACAGAACACAGGCACACACTTGATCTCCGTAGGTAATAAATTATTCCGCATGAGAGAGACTGTGGTTCAAGGCTGGCTTAAGCGACTCAAACAAGGTCACACGAGGGAGAGACAGAATGCAGCCTGGACACTCCGTCTTCTCATTTCTGTTCTAGGACTGTTCTCTGCATTATCGCTCCCCCTCCCCACACTCCTCCCTCTCCGACCCCGCTCAGAGCTACCAGTCCTGGCACCGGGCACTGGGACTTTGTAGTGTTCAAAAAGACGAGGCCGACCCACTAGTCGGATAGGAAGAGTTCTCTGCCTTGTGGTGGTCTGCACCAAACCATCTGTCTGAAGAGTATGCTGTGGGTCACTTTTCTTCCTTGGCTTTGAAACCCTGGTCTCCACAGACTCTGAGAAAATCTGACAATGGAAGGAACAGGGGTTTTGGTCCACGTGGCCCGAGTTTGAATACTTAGTAAGCCATTTACTGCCTCAAGCTTTTGCAACAAGGATTCAGAATCTGGAGAAGGGGCTGCGAACAAATGGATACACTAGATAAGAAATAAAAATTTAGAAGGCATGGAGAAAAGCCAGGTGGAGGCCTCACACTCTAGTGGAGAAGCCGCATGAGAGAGACTGTGGTTCAAGGCTGGCTTAAGCGACTCAAACAAGGTCACACGAGGGAGAGACAGAATGCAGCCTGGACACTCCGTCTTCTCATTTCTGTTCTAGGACTGTTCTCTGCATTATCGCTCCCCCTCCCCACACTCCTCCCTCTCCGACCCCGCTCAGAGCTACCAGTCCTGGCACCGGGCACTGGGACTTTGTAGTGTTCAAAAAGACGAGGCCGACCCACTAGTCGGATAGGAAGAGTTCTCTGCCTTGTGGTGGTCTGCACCAAACCATCTGTCTGAAGAGTATGCTGTGGGTCACTTTTCTTCCTTGGCTTTGAAACCCTGGTCTCCACAGACTCTGAGAAAATCTGACAATGGAAGGAACAGGGGTTTTGGTCCACGTGGCCCGAGTTTGAATACTTAGTAAGCCATTTACTGCCTCAAGCTTTTGCAACAAGGATTCAGAATCTGGAGAAGGGGCTGCGAACAAATGGATACACTAGATAAGAAATAAAAATTTAGAAGGCATGGAGAAAAGCCAGGTGGAGGCCTCACACTCTAGTGGAGTGGCTCCCTGAATTTATGGACCCATGGCTTTTTATTTACTAGAATACACATTTGCCCTTCAGCAAAGTAAACAGACATATCAAAGGTAAGGCTTGGTAAACAGTAAAAGATTATCAGGTTAGGAGATGGCCTTCAGCCACCACTGTCTCCACAGAACAATCGGTGCATAGCTTTTAGCCCCTGCTAAAGCCCCAAAGTCCATCAGCCTTCTGACGGACCTCTCGCATTTATTATGCTAACTACTTTTTGGTCTTTGCCTCCAGCAATTTACTATCTCTGTATCTCATACACTTTTCACCTCTATCAAGTGGCCATAACATGTGACGGGTGTATCTATCAAGAGGATACATTTTTTAAAATAAGGACAAAGTACCCAGCACAGTTCCTGGCATGAGTTAGATGATCAGGCAGTGAGAGCCCTGAGCCCCACCCCACCTGCAGGGGCAGCTCTGGGGCAGAGGAGTGACAGGAGGCCAGAAAGGACAGCCTGCCCACGAACCACAATGCAGTGTACCAATCCTCCTGCTGCCAGGCCCTCTCGGCTCTGACCGCCACCTCTGCTTCACCTTCTCTGAAATAAAAAGATCATAATTACAAGCACCTATTCCTTTCCTCAGATGTGTTTAAAGGTAATTATTTCCTTCTTATCCAATGGTTTCTGTTTATACAATACTGTGTGGCCTGCTCAGTGCAATAACTGCACACAGATAATCATCCATTCAGCAAATGACTGCTGAGTTCCTACTAAGGTGCCAGGAGTGTTCTCTACAGCAGTGAAAATCCCACCTCCATGCCTACATTTTGGTTGGGAAGGCAGACAATAAACCTAAAACCACAAAATGCGCGTTTGGTTGAATAGTGCCACGTGCTCGGAGAAACAGAGTGGGAAAGGAGATGCTAAGTGTTATGAGTGAACTAGGGCCCTTTCCCCCCCCCCCAAAAAAAAGATACTTTAAGTCCTATCCCCAATACCTAAGAATGTGACCTCATTTGGAAATAGGATCATAAGAGACGTAGCTAATTAAGGTGAGGTCATACTGGAGTAGAACCATCTCCCACTCCAATGTGACTGGCGTCCTTGTGAGAAGGTGGCCATGTGACAGCAGATATGCACAGGGAGAAGGCGAGCTGTACAGTTGTGAGCCCAGGAGGCCCAGGCAGCCCACTCACTCTACTGAGGCAGGAGGAGGTGGAGGAGGCCACCCTGCAGGTTGCAGAGGGAGCACGGCTTTAGACTCCCAGTTTTCCAGAACTGAGAGACAATCAATTCTATGGTCTCCAGCCACCCAAAATGTGGTACTTTGTTACAGAAGCCCTAGCAAATGAATATAGTGAGTTTGGGGAAGTTGTAGCATTTTTAAGCAAAGAGATCAAGAAAGATCTCACTGAGAGGGTAACATTTCAGGAACAATTCAATGAGGTGTAGAGGATGCCTCTGGAGAAAGAAAATTCCAGGTAGAATGAACAGGAGATGCAAAAGTCCAAGGCAGGAGAATGCTTGGTGTGTTTGAGGAACAGCAAACACTTCAACTGGTCAAGATGGTTAGTGTTTTAAGGATGAAACTCAAAACTGTTTTGATGATCAGTGAGGCTGGTGGTGACTCCGCTCAGGTTGGCTCAGCTCAGAGGGCTGAATTTAAGTCCAGCCAGCAGAGGGGACCATCTGTCACTTGGAAAGACACTGAGCCTCAGCCGGAGAACAGGAGGCCACCAGTCGCCACCATCTCCAGCACATACCAGTGCCTCTGGAACTACAGGGAAGAGGGACACACATTTCAAAGTAAACTGAGAGTGTGCCCGGGACATCTTTTCAACACTTGCAAAAGGCTCATTTTAATTTCTAGAATCAAGGGAACAATATGCTTGATTAGTTCTTCAGCCGATTTAGCAATTTTGCTTTTCACATTTCTGTCCTTGAAGCAAGTTTGCCATTAACCTTGTATGTTCTAGGGCTTGCGATTAGACATTTTCTCCCTCCAAAATGAAATTTTTGCTTTAAAAAAACACTTAGCTTTCTGATAATTAATTTTTGCTGCTAATAACCAAAAGATCCTCTTTGAGACAAGGAGGTCATTCTTTAAAGAGGCTAGAAGTATGAAGAATGTTCCTTCTCTCCCTGGAGAGAGAATCCATGGAGGAAGAAAGTTTACTGGAAAGAAAGCTCGGTAATCATAAAGCGAAAGCCCGAAAGATTGAGTCAATATTGTGTGTTTAAAAATGCCTTATATGCACACTTACTTGTGAGACCTGAAGGCCGTGAAGCAGCAGCTAGCCAAATCCATTAAGATAAATCTGGCCATATCCACGTCTCTACATAAGGCAACTCGGAGGCAGAAGGTACCAATGCAGTTCTGGATCTGCCTCCATGGCTTCACCCCATCCTAGCCCTAATATTTAAAATTATCCCTTTGTGTCTGTCATGCTGCAGATGAGGTTTGAGTTGGTTTCTATCAATAGAACAAACAAGGTAGAAGGGGATGTTATGAATAAGTTACTGATGCAAATGTGCTATTTTTGCCTTTGGATCTGGGTGATGATAAACATGATTCCACACATGGAAAATAGATTGTTCAGAACTACTACGCTTGCTTCGTTTAATTTATCTGAGGAAGTACTTATAATAATACTAGAGGCCCAGTGCACAAAATTTGTGCAGGGGGAGGGGGGTGGGGGGGAGGAGGTCCCTCAGTCCAGCCTGAACCCTCTCGTAATCCGAGACCACTGGCTCCTAACTTCTCGCCTGCCTGCCTGATCGCCCCTAACTGCCTCTGCCTCAGCCCCCACCATGGCGGCTTCGTCTGGAAGGACGTCTGGAATGATGTCCAGAAGGTCATTCGGCTGTCTGGTCTAATTAGCATATTGTGCTTTTATTATTATAGATGGCTGCTCTGCACGCAATAAGCATTGGATTTCTAAATGAACAAAGGAAGTACGTGAGGACTCCTTATAAATGGGCTGCAGCAAAGGGCATTTAGCAAAGGGCTGTGCACCAAAGAAGATGGGCAAAAAGCATCCCACTCAACCCTGAAGATGAAAACAACCATCATATGGCCTCAGACTCTACATTCTCTGCTCCTGGCTAACGATATGCTGAAGATTTACAATGAAATGTTGGGGAGCTGTTGCTATTTGGGGTTGTCACAGGTAACATCACACTATTCGGGACAAATGAGGACACTATCAGTTCATTCCTCCGGGTCATAAATTGATGATGCTTTAGCAAACTAGCATAAGCAGGCAATTTTGCATAGTGGTTAAGAATGTCCATTCGAGGCCTGGGCTCTATCAACCAAATGAGTGCATCACTCTACCTAAATCATCAATCTTTGTCATGCTCACGTCCCTCATTGGCAAAATGGGGATAATAATTTTGCCTTCCTCATAGAGTTATGAGGGGGGCAATTTGTGGAAAGGGTCTGGAACATGGTTAGAATTCAAGAATAGTGCTATCACTTTTTTTTAAATCAACGCCATCACTTTTATTATGTTTAACAGTATTCTCATTTTCATCCATTATCCTCATTTTCATCCATTATCCTCATTTTCACAGCAAAGGAAAACATCCACAAAATGAAAGGCAACCTATTGAATGGAAGACAATAATTGCAAATCATATATTTGATAAGGGGCTATTGTCCAAAGTATACAAAGAACTCATACAATTCAATAGCAAAAAAAAAAAAATACTATTAAATAATGGGAAGAAAATCTTGACTAGACATTTTTCCAAAGAAGACATTTAGATGGCCAACAGGTACATGAAAAGATGTCAATATCACTGATCATTAGGAAATGCAAATCAAAACCACAATGGGAAATCACTGCACACTTGTTACAGTGGCTATTATGAAAAAGGAAAGAGATACGTGTTAGTGAGGATGTGAAGAAAAGGGAGCCCCTGTGCACTATTAGTGGGAATATAAATTGGTGCAGCCACGATGGAAAGCAGTAGGGAGGTTCCTCAAAATTTAAAAACAGGACTACTATATGATTTAGCAATAATACTTCTGGGTATTTATGCAAAGAAAACAAAAACACTGATTAATAAAGATGTGTTTACCATTATTTACAATAGCCAAAATATGGAATACACATGTCTATCAATGGATGAATGGATAAAGAAATTATTATAGATAGATAGATAAATAGATAGATGATAGATGATGTAATATTATTTAGCCATGAGAAAGAATTAAATCTTGTATTTGAAACAATATGCAACCTTATAGGCAATTTGCTAAATGAAATAAGGCAGACACAGAAATACAAAAACCACATGATTTATCTTTTTTTTTAAAATATATTTTATTGAGTTTTTACAGAGAGGAAAGGAGAGAGATAGAGAGTTAGAAACATCGACGAGAGAGAAACATCGACCAGCTGCCCCCTGCACACTCCCCACTGGGGATGTGCGCGAAACCCAGGCACACGCCCTTGACCGGAATCGAACCTGGGACCTTTCAGTCCGCAGGCCGACGCTCTATCCACTGAGCCAAACCGGTTTCGGCAGCACATGATTTATCTTATATGTGGAACCAAGAAAACAACATCAAACTCATAGAAACAGAGAACAAATTGGTGGGTGCAAGGAGTGGAGAGAAATGGATGAACTTCTAAAATTTTTAAATAAATTTTTAAATGAATTGAATTTTAAAATGTTTAAGTTCAGTAAAAGCACAACTCACCACCTTGTTTGGCAATTAATTACTTTCATTCACTTAACAATTAGATATTGAGTATCTAATAAGTGCCAGGGACTGGGCTAGGGGTTGGCATACTCAGGTGATCAGAGTCAAACATGATCTCTGCCTCCCGGGAGTTACTCCAGGAAGCGGGAAAAGCCAGACACTCTCACAGGGTGAGTATCTTCTCCATCTGAGGGAAGAGCTCTAGATACTGAAACAAAGGACTCTGATTTAAACCTGAGACCTGATAGGTGGGAAGGAGCTAGACAAGGGGCAGAAGGATGGCTTTCTAAGGTGAGAGAACACAACATTCGAAGGCATGGAGTAGACAGTGTGTCTTCATTGTTATTGGAAGTCAGTGCAAACTGCCCATTGGATAGTTCACTTTCATTCATATATAGTTCACAACTATATATCAGATACCTGCTATGAGCAGGCATTGTGCTGAGCCCTGGGACAGGACGGTAAGCAAGACTGACTCTCGTCCTCACCCTTACCTCCAAATACTTAATCCCTCTGTTGGAAAATGCACTGAAGTCATTATTAACTTTATAACCAATAAATTCTATCTTTAGTTTTTATTCCAAAGAGATTCCACGTGCATGGAGAAACTGTGATGCTTTCTTTCTCTGGTCAGACAAGGAATGCTACATAAGCCAAATAATTCCCTTTCTTCCTTGGGGCCTACCAACTTATACTAGCAAGGAGGTCATGTTTCTGTGTTCTGATTAATTGTTCTATTACTTGCATTGTAACTTTAACTTAGTCAGCGGCCTCAAATTCTTTGGGAAGTTGATAGAAGAGGGGAAGCAATGGACAGGAAAAGAGGGACAGAGGGCAAGTTTCTTGAGGTCTGGGAATTGTCCAATGGACCTTTTGCAGTTTTCATGGTAGCAAACATGGGCTGAATGAAAGGCATTTAGTAACTTCTGATTGATGACTGACTAAATGAAGAATACAAAGCCTCCTGAATCAAGTTGGGCTCAATTATGGGGAGAAAAAGTGAAAGTTGCTTACTTCTCTCTAATCTCCATTTGAGAGGGAGAGCTTAAAACCGTGGTTGAGAAGCTCAGCACAATCGTTCCTGTACAGCAGTTGAATAACCAAACAGGAGAACCTTTGAGACCACAAGAGAGAAGGCTAGAACCTCAGGTGTCATTAGAGATTTCTTTCAGGTAACAAGGCCCTTATAAGAGAACATTTCCTTCTTACTCTAGTACTGGTCTAACCAAGAGAAATGTCATAGCTTAACTGACCTCTCTCTGGTGCGAAAAAAATGTTCAGCTTCTTTATGACAAAATGGAAATACATTTGTAATTCTATTTCCTAATGTTCTCTCAGTTATTTGGAGGGGGGAGGGAGTTTGCTAGTTCTTTTGTTTCAAAACTCCACGCTGTGAAAATGAAATTGTAATATAATTATCTGGTTAACTACCAGGAGAAGGGGGAATATTTTTACAAGTTTGGAAGACACCTACATTATCAATAGTAGAGAACTGTAGAGTTCTGTCTTGTTCATGGCTAAAGCCATCCAATTCATATAACAACAACAAATGTTACATTTAAGGAGGTATTAAAGCATCTCAATCTTGCCATTAATTCGACATATTAATGAGACTTTCTGACTTAATCCCCAGTCATGAACTGTCTGTTGATATCATGGCAGTAATATTATAGCAGTGAAGAGTGTATAGCTTGCTTCAGGTAGCTGGCTAAGGCCAATTTCACGATGCTTCAACTCTTGTGACAGGTAGAAAAGTAAATCATATCTGTATTCCTCTAAGATGAAATCATTTCTGTATTCTCATAAGATGAAATCATTTCTGCATTCCTAAGAAACTCTTCAGTGCTAACAAGTACACCAACTAGTTGATAAGCTGGAAAGAAAACAGTATTAAGTGATGGCACTCCAGGAAACAGTTAAAAGGAGAAACTCAGAAAATAGGATTGTGAAGATAGATAATGAGATTCTCAGAACAGTATGGTGAGGGAAGGAAGAAGTCGAATAGCGTACATTTTTAAAAGGTAAGTTATTCCTAAAGCAATTACTTAAATGTGAGAGTTCCTCTCACGGTTCTCAACCTTAGACTCTGAAAGGGAACTTCTTATAATGCAAGACTAAGAGAGCCAATTACTTCAGCACCAAGACATCCTAAATCTTTGGACTTGGCAGTTCAAAAAAACTCTTGGAAAGTGTATAAATTCCCCACTAACGACTCTGACTTTATACATGCAGACTTTAAAGGATGAATGAAAACTAACCAATTAGACAGCAAAGCAGAGAAGAGGGAGCACTGAGTGACAGACCTCCCAGAGTTTCAGTTGTGCCTCCACCCTAACAAGCTCAGAGGTCTAGGTCATACTTGTAATAAAAATCATAATCATAAAAATTGATAATTACACAGCACCTAGTATGCCAAGAACTTTCCATTCTCTGCCACATCTCCTGTAATCTTTATAATGCAGTCTTTATAAGCTATGCGGAGAAATTACCATGCTGGAGAAGAGAGGTAAGTAGTTTTCCCACCTGGCCCTGAGTGGTGGGGTCAGGATCCTGAGGGGAGCAGAATTTGCAACCCCTAAAATATGCCTTTGGGGATAGTGATTATTTTAAGTTGGTTATTTTTAAGAAACAAATACTCAGAAAATGTATCACCACTATGCTGTATACTTAAAACTAATATAACATTGAATGTCAACTGTAATTAAAAAGTAAGTAAATAAAAATTTAAAAACATAAAAACTCAGAAAGAACCTTTGATCTTCCTTTAACTGCCTGAAAGAATTTAGAGAGCTTGTGCCAGGAAGGGAGATGTCATCACAGACGCTAGGGTTTAATACCAACCAGTGTGTAATGGAAAGGGAGGAGCGTAGCAAAGTCCTCTGTGTCCCATTGCTAAAAATAGCCGCACAAACATTTTATCTATCAAACTTTTGCTTTTCTATCTGTGGGTGAATTGCCATCCTGCGCTCTGAAGTCTCAATCCACAACCTCCTCCTTTCTCTTAGCTCCAGATGGCACAGAAGCCTTAACTGCAGATCTGTCCCAGGTCTCATATTCTCATGGAACCCCCTTGTGTACACACATGATAAATTTTCTCCTGTTAATCTGTCTCATGTTAATTTGATTACTAGTCCAGCCAGAAAAAATTTAGAAAGGCAGAAGGAAAGCTATTTTTTTTTAAATTTCTACACTTCAAATACAAAACTCTCCAACCCCAGAGCCCAACCCTTACCCACTACTCTGCAGACAAACTCAGTCACCTGCTAGGATGCTCTAAAAGGTGCTAAGATTTAGGAGGCAAGATAGAATAATGGGAAAAGCTCAGGTTTAATGTGACTGTTTGGCCCAGGAGAGCAGCTTCTTCTCCCCTTTTTTAAATTAAGCCTTTTATTTTGACATAATTGTAGACTCACAAGCAAGTTCATAGAAAAAATACAGAGGTTCCATGTACCCTTTACCCAATTTCTCCCAATGGTAACATCTTGCAAATATACAACAATAGCACACCAGGATATCAACATTGAAACAGTCAGATACAGAATATCCCATCCCCACAGGGACCCCCGCCCCCTCATTGCCCTTCAATAGCCACACCTATCTCCTTCCCACCCCATCACCATTTATATGATTTTGTCATTTCAGGAAAGTTATATAAATGGAATCACACAGTATGTAATCCTTTGGGATTGGCTTTTTTCCCCTCAGCTTAAATCTCCGAAGATTCAACCAAGTAGTTGCTGCCAAGTGGTTGCATGCGTCAATGGTTCATTGCCAAGCAGCATTACAAGATATGGATGAACCAGTTGGTTTAACCATTCACCCAGTCAAGAGCACCTGGGCTGTTTTCAGTCTGGGGCTTGGGCTGTTTTCAGTCTGGGGTTTATAATAATAAAGCTTCTATGAACAGGTTTTTGTGTGACCATAAATTTTCATGTTCTTGGGATAAAGGTCCAGGAGAAAGGTAAGTGCATATTTATTTTTAAAAGAAACTGACAAACTAGTTTCCCAAATGGCTGTACCATTTTCCATTCCCACCAGCAATATATGAGTAACTCAATCTCTCTGCATCCTATTTTTTTAATTTTACTCATTCAGATAGGTGTATAGTCACATATCACTGTGGCTTTAATTTTCATTTCCCTGATAGCTAATAATGTTGAACATCTTCTCATGTGCTTACTTGCCATCTGTATAACCTCTTCAATGACTTGTCTTCATAACTTGCACATTTTCTAATTGGGTGGTTTGTTTTTTTACTGTTGAGTTTGAGAGGTCTTTGTATATTCTAGATACCTGTTCTTTCTCAGGAGTGGTAGATATGTGGCTGGCAAATATTTTCTCCTAGTCTGTAGCTTGTTTTTGCTTCCTCTTAACAGGGTCTTTCACAGAACAAAAGTCTTAATTCTAATGAAATCTAATGTATCGTTTCTTCCTTTTATGGAGTGTGTTGGTAACAAGTCTACGAATTCTTTGCCTAGCTCTAGATCCTACACACAGTCTCTTATGTTTTCTCCTAAAAGTTTTATAGTTTTACATATAAGTCCATTATACATATTAAGTTACTTTTTATGTAAGTTGTGAGACTTATTTTTAGGTTCATTTTTTACCAGTTGCTTCAGGACCACTTGTTGAAAAGACTTTCTTTATTCCATTGAGGAACATTGCACTTTGTCAGAAACCAGTTGGGTCTGTTTTGGGGGTTCCTTATTCTGACCCCTTGATGTATCTATTCCTCCATGAACAGCCAATATTGTTTTAGCTACTCTAGTTCCTGGTTTTCGTATGTGCATGATCTTGTATATACAGCAAAATTATGCTGGGATTTTTATAGCAACTACATTAAATCTGTGTATCAATTTGGGGAGAATTGGTATCTTCTACTATGCTGTGACTTCCAAATCATGGTATGTCTCTCCACTTATTGTGATTTTCTTTGATTTCTTTCATCAGCATTGTATCAGTTTTAGCACATAAGCTCTGTAAATGTTTTATTAGATGTATACATAAGTATTTCATAATTGTGAGCATGTTCATTGGCTGTATACAGAAATACAATTGATTTTTTTTATTTATTTTTTTAATTTATGTTTTTATTACAAAGGGTG